TGATTTACCTCCGCGCGGTGCACCCTGGGCAACGTATACTCATACAGCAAAAAGTCTATAAACTGACAGTTGACTTCTGATTTCAAACTACCATCACCCCACTGTATGTCATATTCGACCACTTTCACAGTACTCACCTCATCTTTTTCTCTAACTTTGTATCTGCCTCTTTTATATCCTTGAATCAATCTTCTGTCCCCCCTCTCCACTTTTTCTCACTTTGATGTTCCTCCTTCCCACTGTGAAGCCCGAAGTCAGCTAAAGGGCAAATGATAAGTATCATAAAGCCCACCATTTGAAATAAATAAATAAATAAATTTTTCATTTAGTTTATTCCTTGATTAGTGTTAGTTTGAAAGATTGGTAGAAAATCATCTTTCAACGGAATAAGTAAAAGAGTAGAGAAATATGAGTTAGCGCCGAGACAATCGGCGAATGTTTTCCACTTCCGGATGCCAGTAAATAAATACCAGGTTGAACATTGATTTGTGTGTGTTTCGATATTGATGCACGTGTGGAATTGAATGACAGTATATGTCAAAACGATTCCAGAGTACTGTTTGGGATTTGAGATGTGCTTTGCACTTAAATAGTGGCGTTAGGTGCGTTGTAGGCTGTCTCAGGGTAATTTCTTAGTGTCAATGGTTATGACACCTTTTAATGACATTTTGAACTGTGGAGTACTGAACTTCGAAGAGCACCTGTTCGACAACTTTCATTGCCATACGTTCTAACATTTTATCTCTCAACTGTATTAACTTCTCATTTCTGCAGAAATCGATTCCACTTGTTTAAACACGAGGATTAGTGTAGCATCAGTGGTTGTGCAAATATATTACATTGGTTATAGAAATAGGAAGAGACTTTAAATTGCTTTTAGAACAACCAGGCCGTTGTTCAAATCTCTCTCCAGCTTTCCTCTGTGCAGAAGCTGAATAACGGACGGTCGTGTTCAACTTACTCTTAAAGGTTTTGACGATTCAGAATGGAGTGCAATAGGACAATTTTATTCTTAACTATTTGAATGCACCTACTTACTAAACCATCAGTAGTACGATCGCACCTTGCTCACTGTTTGAAAGCACAGGCGACTTCGCTGTTCAGCCTACGTAGTATTAAGTACTCCAAAGCTGATATCTTAAATAGTTTTTTGTGTATCGTTCAATCAAATAGGATGCATCGAGTTGGTTTATATTAAAGTGATCAACCATAGGAAAAAGGCGCAAGAAATATCGATTTTGCATTCGTGAATAAATTAAGAGGAAATTCGTCCAATTAAGTTATGGTTGTGCTATAAATTATAAACCTACATTAATGAATGTAAATTGAGAGTCCCAGTTGTTAATCTCTTTCTTTCAATTAGTGAATACCTGCCCATATTTAATAACTTGCGTCTCTACAACAAAATTTGCAGCGAAAATTAAATAGAAATTACTCTTAAGTCATTCCTAAAGTTGTTTTGTAGGTACACAAGCAAAAGATGCCATCGAAAATAGGGAAAAAGAGCAGATTCTCCCTTTAATTTCATCTTGTTCTCTTTGCATTATAATTTGGATGACTCACTTTGAAGCCAAATATCAAGCCACTGTGTTTTAACTCTGTCCAATGAGAATTAACTTTGAGGAAAATGCTACTAATTAATAGGAAAGTTTATTTATATCAAATGGCAGGCGTCTTGATGGTTATCATTAGCCCTTTAGTTGACTTTGGGCTTCACAGAGGGGAAGGAACATCAAATTGAAAAAAGTCGAGAGGGGGGGGGGAACAAAAGAGCGTTTCAATAATGTAAGAGGCAAACACAAAGGTAGAAAAAGGTGAGGTGAGTACTGTGAAATAATCGAGTATGGCATAGAGTGAGGTGATGGTAGTCTGAAGTGAGAAGTCAACTGCCGGTTAAGAGACTTTTTGCCATATGAATATACGTTGCCCAGGGTGCACCACGTGGAGGTAAGTCTATCGCACACCCCTTAATAGGAAAGTATACCTCTCTATGAATGAACACAGATTACCAAATTGGGGACAGAGGTTTATTTCAGCTGTCACCCTGATAAATTCAAACTGTTGGATATTGTGAAGGACAAGCCTAACCCCTTAACTATCCTTATGGACTTTGCAGCCAAGAATTTGTTCCAATCCGGGATTGGAATTTGGGGCGAGGGAATGGATTAACCTTCCCTTTGAGCTATTTCATCTTATTAACTATTAACTCATTTCATTTTCTTCCCAAGACTATAAATTGGATAGCCAAACATGTAAAGCTCGCCTAAATACGTGAATTCGCATGTGTTGTTCTTTGGCATTCCTCTTAACAAAGTTTTTTTTCTATTCGAATTAAGGTGTGTTTGAAACGGATAAAACCAAACTCAAAGTTACTATTTTTTCAACCTAACTTAGAACTCCTTTTGCTACAAATACATTTAATGGCGTTCGTGTAGTCTTTTGTTTTTTTTCTATTTATTCTTAAATGCAACTGATATTAATAAACCAATAGTTAGCTCGGCTCCAATTAACTGTGTTGGTACCAAGGTACATTTTATTCTTGCCTCCAGGTCAAGTTAACTTTTCATTATAACCTTCGCAATTGGATAAAGCCATTTACTGATTAGCCAATGAGGAGACTCGCTTGAAAGTAATTGAAAATCGAGCTTTTGATACATTACAAAAATTCATTTCATTAAAATTTATTCACCTCCAACGTAAAGAATGAGCAATACTCCAAAACAGTCAGAACTGAAATCTCCCTCAAACGAGGATGGTGGAGGAGGTAATTCCGGAAATGTCTTCGGTTTTCCACATAAAGTAGACCTTGATCACGTTCTCAAGCACCATGCTGGAAACATCGGTTTTGTTCAAATTATAATGGTCATTATGAGTGCTCTCACTCTACCTCCTGGCATCATATTTCCCGTCTTTGGGAATACAGAACTTCCACACCGATGTCGTCTGGAACCTGAGGTAGAAAAGGAACTTGCTAGGAGGTTTAGTAGATCTTCTGAAGACACTTTCAATTCAATTGCCACTTTAGTCGGTCCTTGGCCTAGTTCAAATTCATCTTCCTTTGTTAATTGGCACGGATTTGGTTGCAAACGTTATTTAGTCCCACTTATGTCTGTAACCCAGAATACAACCCGTCTACTAACAATCCCTTGCAATAACGGCTATGTTTACAAATACTCCTCCGATCAATACCCAGGTGGAATTATCAATGAGTGGGACCTAGTGTGTGATAGAGCCTGGATGGGTCCATTCAGTACNGAGGAAATACTTTGCATTGATGGTCTGCTAAAGACGTACTTCAAATGTGAATGGACAAGTATCAAGCACATAGTGTGTAGCATTCATACTGGAACGTCCACAGAATAATCAAAACTTGCTATAATTGGGGGAATTCTGGAAGCCTTGGAATTACTTTGTTGAACAGCACTTGACTTTGTTTGATTTAAGAGAGGCCTTCGATAAATTGATCATTACTACGATTGTTATTAACGACAACCTGAAACATTGTCAGCAGCTTTGAATG